TATAGCTAGCTATAAGCTTATGTCAACTGTTAATCTGCAGTCGATTCATCATTTTCTCTTTTTGCTTCTTTTTATGCCACTTGACTCTGATAACAATGTAAAGCATATATTCGGTTACTTCTGTTTTATGGTTTGTTTTGTTTGTCTTTTTTCTTTCCCTTTTGTCTTATGATTTTGGAGCAGTTATTCTCGTAATCTATGTGGCAGACGAAGAGGACGCCCTCTAGATGTGTGGGCACCAGACGCTGGTTCTGTTTGCGCAGGTGAAGGCTTCGTTGTTGTAACTCTTCTAAGCTGCATCACGCACTGATGATAGACCTCTTCATTCATTTCTAATTGAAAATCATCTTCAAGATAAGTAATGCCTTCATCACCTTTTAGCTGGCAAACGACCTGATCCAACTTCACAATACCGGTGAATTCATAGTGTAGGAGCAAACAGTCCTCTGGATCGGGTGCGTAAATATGGACTTTCGCAGTGTCCGTCAACATCCGGGGTTTCCAGTCTTGGGCAAGGTTTCCTAGTAAAAATGGGCCCGAAACTCTTTCATCACGCGAAATCAAAAGGGTTGAACCTTTACTAAACGTAATGGTGGAAACACAATTCATCGTTACTGGCACACAATCAACATCGAAATCATCCTCATCGTCACTGGTTGGAGTATCTGAATCCACATGTATATTGCCGCGGATCTCTGACAATGAAGAAGAGGGGTTTGCTACAAGTCCTCGACGACCGTAAGCAGTTACAGGGGTTATCCTTTGTTGACTTGGCACGTACAGTTAGTTGCCGCGACGACCTTCCGTACTCCTTCGCCCACTTTCGCATTGTGGACAGGTCTTGCTGTGTACCGTTCTGTTTGGGTGGACGAGGGATGTCAGGCAGTTCTTCAAAACTAACCATATTTTCCGGTATGTCATAATAGCTTCTTCTGTTGGTAAAGTAGTTAAAGCCGCAGTTGGTGGTTCTTTTGACAGTCTCCTCGACAGCAAAAGGAAATTGATGAGAATACTGGATGACAGTAGGAACTTCATACACCTCTCTCATTTTAGAGTTGAAGTGCTCAACTATTAAGGTGACAAAGGATTTGAGATTCACATGCTCAACGTAGGCTGGATTGACGGTCGTTAACTCTTTTTCTATACAGCGAAGGGCCTCTAGTGTCATCCTTATGCTGGCAACTGTCTTGGTGGAGGGCACCCCGTGTAGTCCTTCAACAGTTCTTCTGCCTCCTGCATTCAACTTCGCCTCTTCTACAGCTGTTTCGAAATAACTCGTTGCATCGTCCAGGAGACGCGTCGCAGTTGCCAAAGATGCTGTTGGAGAATGGATACCATGCGATGTATACATGAATTAAATTATGAATTGACGTCACAGACTTGAGCTAGACCTGGTTTGCCGCTCACATTAGCTCACATTGTAGTTTTAATATTTTGTCCTATTTTGCCAGCTTTTGCCATCTTGAGCAAACAATCCCAGCTAAAACCACCATCAATGCAACTTGCAGCCTATGCCTTTCATAATTAGCTATAGTACTGTAGCTTAGCTTAGCTTATAGTAATAGAATCGAACCTGGATGAATGATGAACCGTGGGACCTAACTGGTTAAGCATGGCGTGGTTGTTTTCTC